GTTGTGCTCACTTGGGGAGTGAATCATGGGACGGAAGATCTTCCTCTCTGTATATCCGCCTTTCCAATAAAAAAATAATAAAAATAAATCTTAAAAAAAAATAAATGAATCTTAAAAAAAAGAATTACTTATTTGAAAGGCAGATTTACAGACATCTCAGGGGGGTTTGATGGGGTTTGATATTTTTGTTTTTATTCTTATTCATTGAAAAATAGTTTCTGGTTTTCGTATTAATTTCCTCACTGACTCATAGGTCACACAATTGTTTGCTTCTAGAAGGCCTTTGATTTTCTTTTTAATTTCTTTGGTAACATATTGGTCATTTGGTAGCATGTTATTTAACTTTATGTTGTAAATTTTCTATTGTTCTCTTTGCTGTTAGTTTTGTTTTATGGCCTTTCATTTAAGGGGATGTATAGCAACTGTGTAGTAGAGACCATCACGTGCAGATGTGAAGATACAAGGCAGTGTGCATCTCTACTTCCGTATCAAAGACAGAGTCCCAGTGAAACCGTTGACTGTACTTTGACAATAGGATGCTGGACTCTTTGCCAAAGTCCATACCTAATGTCAGGATGTACTTAAACAGTAGAATGATGGACTTAAGACTGATTGTGAAGGACTGTACTATTGTAATGACATGGGGGAAATTAGTGGTAGGACGGGGATTTGGGAAAGGGGAAGAAAATTCCAGAAGCTATAGAACTGAAACATGAAATAATAAAATTTAAAAAGAAAAAGAATGAAAATATCCAAAAAATTATATTTTTTGTTTAAAAGGCAGATTTACAGACAGAAGGAGAGACAGAAAGAGAAAGAGGGAGAACTTTAGTCTGTGGTTTACTCCTCACATGACCACAATGGACAAAGCTGAGCTGATCCGAAGCCAAGAGCCAGGAGTTTCTTCTGGGTATCCCACATGAGTGCAGGAGCCCAAGGACCTGAGCCATCTTCTGATGCTTTGCCAGGACATAAATAGGAAGCTGGATGGGAAGTGGAGCAGCCAGGGCTAGAACTCACGTCCATATGAGATGTTGGCACTGCAGGCAGGAAGATTAGCCCGTTGAGTCACCCTGCCAGCCCCTGCTCCCTCTCCTTTGCTTCTCGCCTATGAAGAGGGTATTGACGCTTCGGTCAGTCCCCTGCTTTGGGATTTCTGCTTGATGTGTGACCGTCCTACCATAACTGCCCCCACTCCTGTGCTCACTGTTCAATTGCTATAAACTTTATTTCCTGCGAATCCATCTATTTTTGTCATTTCATTGCAAACCTCCAAAAGGTGAATGATAAGGAGATAGCAGCAAAGTAAATTCTCACAGTGTGGTACTCACCTCTGCAACTGGTTACATGTTCGCAGCTGGTATTGCTGCTGGCATGGCTGAAGTTAAAGCTTAGCACGTCCCAAACCAGCGTCTGTTCCTTCAGCATGAAGCAAGCCACGGCTTTGTCACCAAGGGGGGCTAACGGGGAATTTTCCTGAAGCAAACAGGCCCGGGGAGCTGCTGGGATGATGGTTCATCTCTCCCTGGGAAGCCAAGCCGCTGCCGAGAACATGCAGTTCCTAGTTAGGCGGAAGCCTTGGTCTGCATCTCCTGCTGGGAACTCAGATGAGATGCCAGGAGACGACAAGCCAGCAACACTAAGTGAGGAAGGACACCTCACAGGCCGGTGGGCAGCTCAGCAGGAACCAAGGGCCTGTTTTCCTTTGCGTTCAGAGGGGGTATTTGTGGGAAAGGGGAGGCTTTGCACAATTTTTCTCCCCAACCAACCTGCTTCTTCTGAAATGTTTTGTGACAGAAAAGTGTCTAGGGTGCAGGATTCCCCGAGCAGTTAACACAGAAGAATCCGCAGAAGGACCTCTGACACCTTTGTTACGGTGGTAAGACCTTTGACCTGAATGCTTCCCATTGCTTTTAAGACATGTTTCTGAGACATCCTAAGTCTCCTCCTTTTAACAACTTTTGTTCTTTCTTTTCTCATATTTTTAGGCTAATGTTTCTTTCCTAACAATGTTTTTCAGCATTTTCTATAACAAATTAATATTTTCTTTGTCGTCAGCAAGCATGTCAGCTGGTTCTGGTTTTTTGCCTGGTGGGATGAGCCAAAGCTCTCAGACGTCAACAGAAGCAGCCCGACCTGAACTGCAATGTCGCCATGTTCCAGGCGTGTTATCACAGGGCTGCCCTGCAGCCCTTCACACTCCAGACATACACTTCTGTGGCTTCACTGTTGAGTAGCAACCCAATTCCTCCTTAGTGGCCAATCAGTATCCAGCATCCTTCCCTTTTGAAACAAAACCTCTACATCAGCAGGGCCTAAGATCACAGCGCAGGGAAGCAAAGGTTCGGCTGGTGGATAACCGGAATAGCGGTATGTGGAGCCACTGTTTCTACCTCCTCAGCTCGTGTCAGTGAATCCTGGCTGTGAGAGACGAGGGCATCTAACGTGGAGAATGTAGTCCCTACCCATCAACATATTACCTCTTAGATGGTGATTTAATGAGTTATTCAACAACCCATCCTGCTGGTGTCAGCACAATTGTTTTAGGATGATGGGGAAAATGGTTAACAGTATTGAGTTCCCTAGGCATAGATCAATTGTCATGCTTCATGCGTTAAGGGGTAGCTTCCTAAACTAAAAGCAATGCTTTGTGAGATACAATTAATTACACTGGATAAGACTTCCTAGAAACATTGTATACAAGGAGGGTAAATCTATATCCAGACAGTGTGATCCATTAAGAAGAAAATACTTCAGCAATGGAAGTGTCATCTGTCACCAGGTTATCACCCAAGGAATTGTTTCATATTATGAACCCAACGTTGGTCTCAACTAGCATGAAACGGGCACTCAGAGCCTGGCACAATGGCTCAATTGGCTAATCCTCCCTTTGCTAAATACCAGAGTTCAGGAACCCATATGGACACTGATTCATTTCCTGGCTGCTCCATTTCCAATCCAGTTCCCTGCTTGTGGCTTGGAAAAGTAGCAGAGGATGACCGAAAGCCTTAGGATCCTGCAGCTGTGTGAGAGATCCTGAAGGGGCTTCTGGCTCCTGGATTTGAACCAGCTCTTCTTCCCTCCTCCTCCTCGTTGTTCAAGTTCTTGTTCTCCTCCTCCTCTCTCTATAAATCTGCCTTTCCAATAAAAATAAAATTTTTTAAAGATTTATTTTTATTTTTATTGCAAAGTCAGATATACAGAGAGGAGGAAAGACAGAAAGATCTTCCATCTGATGATTCACTCCCCAAGTGACTGCAATGGCAGGTGCTGCACCGATCCGAAGCCAGGAGCCAGGAACAACTTCCGGGTCTCCCACATGGGTGCAGGGACCCAAGGCTTTAGGCCATCCAGTACTGTTTTCCCAGGCCACAAGCAGGGAGCTGGATGAGAAGTGGGGCTGCTAGGATTAGAGCCGGAGCCCATATGGGATCCTGGTGCATTCAAGGTGAGGACTTTAGCTGCTAGGCCACGCTGCCGGGCCCAAAATTTTAAAAATCTTAAAAAAAAAATAGGCATTCAATTGCTTCTCGGCCTTTTGGCTAAGATCAAGTGTAAAAATAAAATAGGCATTCAACGAGGGCTGTCCAAATGGCAATGCCAGCCACATCACACCTTGGGACACCAGTTCCAGAAGTGCAATCATTACCACCTTAAAGACACTAATTCTATTAATGTGTGACTTATATAATTAATAATTATACATGCATACCTTCCCACTTTCCTGTAGCCCTTAACCTTTGTGCTTTAATCAACTATGTAAAGATTACCAAAATAAAATAATTACGAAAAAAAATTTATAGTGTAGGGCTTGGCCTGGTAGCCTAGTGGCTAAAGCATCACCTTGCACACATTAGGATCCCATGAGTGTCAGTTCATGTCCTGGCTGCTCTACTTCCTATTCAGCTCCCTGCTTGTGGCCTGGGAAAGCAGTCGAGGACGGCCCAAAGCCTACACCCACATGGGAGATCTGAAGGAGGCTTGAGACTCCTGGCTTAAGATCCGCTCAGCTCTGGCCATTGAGGCTACCTGGGGAGTGAACCAGTAGCTGGAAGATCTTTGTCTCTCCTCTTTGTAAACTTGACTTTATAATGAAGAAATAAATAAACCTTTCTTAAAAAAAACTGCTAGTCTAAGATCTTGGCATCTGTGTTCATGAGTGACACTGACCTCATCCATTCCTGTATTAAGTGTTTATAATTTGAAGCGACTCTGGGTCTGATGGTTCCTTTATGGGAAGCGTGATGACTGATTCCATAGTTTCAATGATGGTAGGACAGACATTTCTCTCTTATTCATGCTTAGGGATGTGAAATTTGTCTAAGTATATGTTAAACTACATTTGCAAGTTTATTGCATGAAATTATTCTCAAATATCATTTTTTCAATCCTAGAGCATGTGGGACTGTACTTCTTTCACGGGTGTGTTTGTATTTTGTTCTTTATTTCTGTGCCATTTGTCTTTTCAAAGAACCAGTATTTGCAGCAGACAGGGGTAGCCCGGCAGCCCCAAGGCTCCTGAGGCAGCAGGAGGGGTTGAAAACCAGATTCCAGGAAGTGCAAAGAGGCTCAGTACCCAGGTGCCCACTGGCTGATTTGTCTCTATCCTGCAAAGCTCCTTTGAAGACTCAGTCTGTGCCATCTCAGAAGCAATTTCTGGAGCTCTGACGCTTAGCCTCCCCAAAGCAGCAGCTTCGCCTAGAGCTGGCTGCAGCCTGGAAAATGGCAGCCACAAGGTCACCCCATGACACCTGCTGCGACACACGCCCTTCACGATCATCTTCTCTCCGTGGTTCACCTTAGGTCTGTCCTAATCCTTGCTGCATATCTTGTCTTGGCTCCATCCAGAGGAACTAGTCTCTTTCCAATGGCCTACTAGCTTTAAAATGAGACTCTGCTAGTTCTAATTAACAGCAGCTAAAACTGTTAGTCCCTTTATGGTTCTGATACCCAAACGGCTTCATGTATACAAAAAACAAACAAAACACTGGTTGACAAGATTCAAATACAAAGTTATATTTATTTTCAATAACAAAAACACAACAAGTGGAACTGACCCACTAATTTTTAAGTCTAATGCAGTCCTTATAGCACAAAATAAACAAACAAACAAAAAACACATTACTATTCACACAGTAAAATTGTTCTGAAGACTTTTTAGAACTTTGTGTCAGTTTTAACCAAAACTTGAGTGACAGGTAAAGAAACATACTTGAGACATGACCTGACTAGGAAGGGACTGAAGAAAAGGACAGCAAAGCAAACATGGAATTCTCAAGGAATTTTGAGCCAAAGCTCAGGGGGGTGCGGGGGAGGATAATCAAGGCTTTGTAATTCAATCTTTCCGCACTTCTACACAACTGACTTGGAGTATTTCACAAGCTACAGGAGCATCTGCCAAAAGACGAGGGGCTCTTCACACATGCCTCCTAACTTTGCTCCTCTGACTTTGTCCCTAGCATGTTACCAAAGATCATTACCATGTAAACCAACACCTCAATGGTTTAGATTTTCCTTTCATAGACACTGATATTTGCCAGGAACAATTCTAAATACACATACTCAATTTTGATTTTTCTTTTTTTTTTAATCTTCCTACACAGCTCTGCTTGGTTAAAAATTCTGCGGCTTACAGAGCAATGGCAATACCAGTCAGAGGGTAAGTGTCTGTTCCAATGTAAGAACTCTAACTCCAACGATCAAAATTTTCTTTAACAGTCTCATCTGCCACATTTTTCCTTTTCTCATTATCTTGCCAGTTACTTCTTTCGGAATTCAATCCTCCGAGCTACATTTTGAGCACCAAATTTTTTAACCAGTGCTTTCCTGGTATCCTCATCATCTTTTTGCAAATCTAGGTCATCTTGTCGGGACCAAATAGGACGTCCATCAGCTCTCCGACCAGACTCTAAAAAGGAGGAAGTAGCTTCCAGCTCACCACTATTTTTCAGAAAGGCCTGTGTAACCGTTGACAGATCTAAGTTAAACTTTTCCATTAATTGCCGGATGATCTTAATGGCAGCTCCCACTTCTGGTGCAGAAACTTTCTCTTCTTCCTCTTCCTCATCAGGCTGTACCTCTGAGTCTTCTTCAGGTGTGGAAGGATCATCATCACACATTGTGATATGTATTTCAAAATCAGAGCTCTCGTCCACCTAGAGAAAATGATGAGTAAGACTGGTTCCTAATTACCAAGTCCTACGCTCTTTCAGGACCTGGTCTCTCCTAACTCCCACCCCTCACCCTCTGTATTCCACACACGCTAGACTTCCTTCAGCTGCTCCAATATGCTGTACTCCTTCTTGCCTTTTGAATGTGTGTGTGTGTGTACACTCATGTGGGTGCATAGGTGATGATGTACAGCTATGTATTTGTGTTTCTATGTATAACTGACTATAATATTCCAAGAGAACATTAGATGCCATGCTGAATAGCGAAAATGTATGTGTAAACATACATATGATGGTACTTCAAAAAGTTCATGGAAAAACCGTATTACGAGCAGGTGCTTGGCACAGTGGTTACACCAGAGCCTGGAACACCTACACATCACTTCAGAGACCCTGGGTTGGAGTACCAGCTACTCTACTTCCATTCCAGCTTCCTACTAATACCCAGCATGGAAAGCAGCAGCTCATGATTGAAGCATTTGGTTCCTGCCATCCATGTGAGAATCCAGACCGAATTCCAGGTGCTCGCCTTCACCGTAACCCAGCCCTGGCTGCTGCAAGCATATGGGGGATGAAGCAGTGATGGGAAGATCTATGTCCCTCTTTGCCTTTCGAAAAAATGAAAAATAATAACCCTTAAAAAAAAGTTTTAACTGATTAAAGTATGAGTTTGTTTTGTAAGACACAGCAACAAGTATTCTACCTTGGGATGTAGTGATGCTAACCACTGGATTACCCCTACAAAAACATTTTAAAAAGTTAAACTAGGGCCCGAAGTGGTAGCCTAGCAGCAAAAATCCTCACCTTGAACACACCGGAATCCCATATGGGTGCCGGTTCCTTTTAAAAAAAAAAAAAAAAAGATTTATTTATTTTATTGGAAAGGCAGAATACAGAGAGGAGGAGAGACAGAGAGGAAGATCTTCCTTCCAATGATTGACTCCCCAAGTGACCACAACAGCCAGTGCTGTGCTAATCCAAAGCCAGGAGCCAGGAACCTCCTTCTGGGTCTCCCATGCGGGTGCAGGGTCCCAAAGCCTTGGGCCATCCTCCACTGCTTTCCCAGGGCACAAGCAGGGAGCTGTATGGGAAGTGGAGCTGCCGGGATTAGAACCGGCACCCATATGGGATCCCGGCCTGTTCAAGGTGAGGACCTTAACCGCTACGCTATTGTGCCAAGCCTGATGGGTGCTGAGTCTAATCCCGGCAGCCCCATTTCCCATCCAGCTCCTTGCTTGTGGCCTGTGAAAGCAGTTGAGGACAGCCCAGAGCCTTGGGAGCCTGCACCCATTTGGGAGACCCAGAGGAGGCTCTGGGCTCCTGGCTTCAGATTGGTGCAGCCATGGCCACTGCAGCTGCTTGGGGAATGAATCAACTGATGAAAGATCTTCCTCTCTGTCTCTCCTCCTCTCTGTATATCTGATTTTGCAATGAAAATAAAATAAATCCTTAAAAAAAAGTTTAACTCAAGCACTAGTTTTCTGGTGTAATGGGTAATATACCATCAACTACAATGCTGGCATTCCATATGGGTGCTGGTAAAAGTACTGGTTGATCTGCTCAACTCTGGTCCAGCTCTTGCTATTGGTCTTAGAAAACAGTGCAGGATGGCCTAAGTCCTTGAGCCCTTGCAACCATTTAGGAGACTTGAAAGAAGCTCCCAACACCTGGCTTTGGACTAGGTCACCTCCAGCCATTGCAGCCATTTGGGAGAGTTAAACAGTGAACGAGAAATCTCTTTCTCTGCCTCTTTCTTTAGCTATCTTTCAAACAAATAAATCTTAGGGGGAAAATATATACAAACCCAGTATTAACTTTGAAAATTTTATATTGAATCAAAGTATTCAAACTAACTCCTCTGTCAGTATGCAGTCCCTGCAGATGAGCACAAGAACCAAGGCTGGGGGCAGCCCAGAGCAGGCCAGGTTACGGTACCCACAGCTGGCATACATGTAGGCCAGGTCTGGGGGCAGCCCAGACTGGACCAGGTCATAATACCACTGGCAGATCCAAGAACCAGGACAAGGTGCATGGTGGCCCAGGTTGGGCTGCAACACCAGCCAGTTTACATTTGGGCTGTGGCCTGTGGGCTGCCTGAGCTGGGATAGGTTATTAGCACCTGCCAACATGAGCTGGAACTGGGGGAGACCAGGCCAGGCCAGACTACAGCACCCGTTGGCAAGTGCCAAGGTGAAGTGGGCCATGCCAGACTGAGCTGCAGTACCCACCAGCACATGTGAGACTGGGGGTGTAGTGAAGGAGCAAGTCTGGTAGGGGGACTGTGGGGAGCTTCCCTGCTGGACAACTGCTCCCACTAATAAGCATGAGAACTGGGATAACGGCAGACCAGGCCAGGCTAAGCAATTATACCCACTGGTGCATGTACAGAATAACAGCAGGCTGGTTGGGCACTGCCACAGCATCAGCTGGCAAGTGCTGGCACTGGGGGAAAATCCTATCAAGCTAGACTGCAGAACCAACTGGAGAGTGCAAGATCTTGGGCAGGGAATGGGCACCTCTCTGATGGGCTGCAGCTCTTACTGGTGAACATAAAAGCCAGGGCTTGGAGCAGGCCTGCCTAGACAGGTGGTGGTACCCACTGCATAAGTGTGGGCTAGATAGAGGGGGTGGTTGGGTTGAGCTAGGCTTCAATACCCACTGATGAGTACAAGAACTGAAAGGAATGTGGGACAGACTGGGCCAGTCTGCTGCACATTGGCAAGCACAGGAACCACGTCTGGGGAAGGCCTAGTGAGGGTTTTTGAGGGGCTCTGACTAGGCCATAGCTGGTGTATGTGAGAGCAGAGTGTGTGGTAGGAAGGGTTGGCCTGGCCGCAGCATCCATTGGTTTATGTAAGAGATAGGCTGGAAATAGAACCAACCCAGCAATTGCAACTACCAGCACGTGCATAAGTTGATGTGTGTTATAGACAAAGCTGGACCCCATATTGGCAAGCACACACAAGAGTCAGGTCTGGGATCACCTCAGATGAGGTTTCTTTGGGGATCTCCCAAACTGAACCAGTGGACTCAGAACTCTAACCATAGGGAGAATTGCAGGATCTGTGGTCTGACTGTGGAGTGCATGTGTCAGAACTGGGCCTCCTCGGTGGCTTAGAGCAGTGGATGGCATACCCAGAAGCATATGGAGGATATGGCAGTCCATTAGAGCCTATGAAGGACATCTGGTACCATAGCAGAGGAAGAAGGATAGAACAGATTGGTCAACTATCTCAACCAAGCGTTGACAGCAAATATCTGGCCAAAGAGGGACTCTAAGGCAGACTCTGTCAGCCAGTGACCCTTAGAAGGATTTCCTCATCCTTGGAGCAGCAAAGTCAACAGCATTTCAGAACTTCCAAAATCACTTGAGCACTCGGAGCATGCTCCACACTGGGGACCATGGGATAACATTGAGTGGCCATTCCACATCCCCCAATACTGAGGTGGTTGGGAGGCTGGGTGCAGCTTCTCCTCTCATCTATCCTCTTCCACTGGATATAGGAAGAAGAAAAAGAAAATTTGGAAACCACTGTCTCACCCTTTTTCCCCTAACCCTAGATCCTTCCCACCCTAATCAACTATGTAAACATTATCAAAAATAAAAAAATTTTTAAAAGGATAGAGAAAAAATTTTCAACATAGGTTGCTTTATACTATTTAAATATTACCATCATTCTGGTTTATTCTCCTCCTCAAACTGTCCTGCTAAGTCCAAAACCTTTGCACAAAAAAGCTTCAGAACATTACCTACTTCCCATTTTTCCCTCCTGTCTTCAATTTCTCTTAACCTCCTTGGCCTTAGATGATGAAAAGAGTAGAGGAATAAACAGTTTCAAATAATGGAAGCAGAGAAAAGATACATAAATAAATCTCCATCAACATACCACAACCTCCTCAAACTCCCGGGTAGTCTCCATAAGCATTGTTTTGACTGTTTCTTCATTCTCTTTTATCTCTTTCTTCACATACTCTCCTTCGGGCAAGTCTGGAGTTCTCTTATTCTGTGGTTCTATTTAAGAGAACAGCATAAATTAGTATTTTTGCATAAACCAAAAATATTATAAGATCTGGTCCAAGAGTAGGCCTACACTCATTGTTTTTTTTATAGAAGACATCTGTTCTTGATTCAGAATGGTAACAAAAACATATGACATGAATGTTTAATAATTTATATTTTCTTAGATTTATTATATATTTTTTGGAAAGTCAAATTTACAGAGAGAAGATCTTAATAAGTCACTATGTTAACCAAGTAAACTTCAGAGCAAACTGATGCCTAGAGTATAGTGTAATAGTACTACTGTGACCAAAAGGGATGCACAGCAGACAAGGGGTTAAGAGTGGCTGTCCCCAGGAGAGAAGCAGAAGAAGGCTCTGGTAACAGGAGGACTAAACACTGCTCTAGTACTCAAACATTCCTGCAGGACAAATTCCTGGAAGTAGGCCTACAGTGCGCCAAGGGACTACCCATGCTGTCGGATTGCCCAAATGCCCACCAAAGAATCGTGCCAGCTTGCTGCTCCCCACAAGGGAGAAGTGTAGTTGTTTTCCTATGCCTCATTACCTTATCCAGTTTGTTAATTTTGCCAATTTTATAGACAAAATATGACATTTCCTTATTCTGAATTACTTTTATTACAAACAAATCTAGTACTCTGCTAACAGTCTGATATACTTTTGTTTGCTAAAATATGTATATACTCATTGATCCTTTATTTCCTTTTCTGGGAACTTTTCATCCCATCTTATTTGCCAATTTTTCTATTAGTTTTCCTTTTACCTACAGACTTCTGAGAGCTCTCTGGACAGTAAGGAAACCAAGTCTATCACAATTTAACAGGAGTATTTTTTCTGTTTGCCTTCTGGCTTTGCCACCATAAATTTTAATTTTTAAATAATCAAATATATAAGACTTCCTCTAGTCTGTGTCTTCAATGTCATGACTATCATCACATTAACATTAAAGTATATATATATATAATGTACTTTGCATTTCTTTCCATAATTCTTAATTTCAACTGTTAAATATCATGTTTTTAAATATCATGTTACAGCACTATCTAGCATACTCTTTTCTCCTATTGCACTTTAAATCTTTGCCACAGTAATAACAACAACAACAAAAAATCTCTGCAAAAAAAAAAATGACAGGAATTGTACACTACTATAGCATTAGTGATTAAAAAGATCTGGGCCCAGCATGATGGCCTAGCGGCTGAAGTCCTCGCCTTGAATGCTCCGGGATCCCATATGGGCTGCTAATCCCAGCAGCTCCACTTCCCATCCAGCTCCCTGCTTGTGGCCTGGGAAAGCAGTCAAGGACGGCCCAGTGCTTTGGGACCCATGTGGGGTACCCGGAAGAGGTTCCTGGCTCCCGGCTGGATGGGAAGCAGGGCTGCCAGGATTAGTACCGGCACCCATATGGGATCCCAGCGGGTTCAAGGCAAGGACTTTAGCCGGTAGGCCACATCGCCAGGCCCAAAAATAAATAAACCTTAAAAACAAAAAAGAATTACTTATTTGAAAGGCAGATTTACAGACATCTCAGGTGGTTTGATGGGGTTTGATATTTTTGTTTTTCCCTTGTCATCCCTCCATACAGAAAGCTCTTTCCCAGATAACCCTCTGGGCAGTCCTCTGACAGCCTCGAATTAACTCTGCTTAAAAATCCATTTATTACAAATAATGTGAAAGCAGTAGTCTTACCCACTTTCCTGTAACCCTTGACCCTTTGCGCCCTAATCAACTATGTAAAGATTGTCAAAATTGAGCAATTTCCCAAAAAAATACATTTATTACAATGTTCTCTAGAAAGCAACGTCCTCCCCTCCCTCACCCCGCTGGATTCTCTGTTAGATCCCCAAAGCCCACGGGTCTGGCACTCAAGCACCTGTGAATGGACCAATCTCAAATGTCACTTTTCCAAACTTCCTAACAAGCATGCTGGATAAGAGAAACACAGCTACTTCCCCAGACTTCTTGAATGGAGAGTGAGAAAAGGGAAGGGGGAAGGGCAGCCTGCCTCAGTATGTAAAAGGATCTGTCACAAGCTGTCAACATTAGGCGCGACCCAAGCCTAGCTGGGCGCCTGGTCCTAACTCACAGGCCTCCCAACTTTAAATGCAACTGCTCCCAGAGCAGAAACTCCCGGATCAGAAACAAGCAGGGCCAGGAGGAGATCTTCCCAAACCGACCATAGCCCAAATAAAAACTGGCCTGGCACACTTTCAAATCAACTCCAAAGCAGGAGAAAATCTGCCCTCTTCCCCAAAGAAACCTCTGCGAGAAGCCAGTTACCCCATTGCTGGTGAAGGAGAAAACTGGGTATTGGTGGGGTGCAAGGCTGGGAGGTTTCTCTGTACACGACCCTAGTCAAACCCTAGTTCCCCGGAAAACAGATGAAAAGGAGGAAGAGGAGAAAATGGTGCGAATGCACCCCAAAATCCCAGGCGGGAGTGGCAGCGAAAGTTAGCCCAAGTGTCAAAATGGACTTCTGACAGAAGAGTATGCAGCCGCACCCCACTCCCAGGCACCCACCCGCAACCCGCAGCCACGCCCCCTCCCAGGCACCCACTCCGAGGTATCCACCTGGACCCCTCAGGCGTGCCCTCTCCCAGGCACCCGAACTCCCGCAGCCGCGCCCTCACTCCCACACATCTGCACCCCACAGCCACGCCCCCTCCCAGGCACCCACCTGGACCCCAGAGTTGCGCCCTCTCCCAGGCACCCACCCGCACCCCGCGCCGCCGCAGCCCTCACCCCCACTATCCGCGGCCTCCGGGTCCTGCTCGGCCTTCCGCTTGAGCGTCTGTGAGGAGGGGCTCACGGGGGCGTCTCCCAGCAGGTACTTGTGCTCCTGGCCCCGCAGGTGCTTCAGGTAGCGGTCCTTGAGCGCCTGCCACGAGTGCTGCGTGAGCGAGCTCTTCTCCATCGCTTTCCACAGCGCGTTGCCGGTCACCGAGCTGGGGGAGCGGGCGTTTTCCTTCACATAGGTCAGGATGGCCACGTCGTCCGCGTCCGTGAAGGCGATCCGGCCGGTGAGAGGCTGCGGCTCGGGCTCCGCCGACGCGCCCTGGGCCGAAGCCCCAGGCTTGGCGTCTGTGCCCTGGCCGGCTCCGGAGGCCAGGCCCAGCCGATAGGACTCCAGCCCCAGCCTCTCGTTGCGCTCCACGCAGTCCAGGATGTACTGCGTGGAGATGAAGTCGCCCGAGGCCTCAGCCAACGCTTCCCCGGGCTGGGCCAGCAGCACGGCCCCGGGCTCCTGCACTCGGCACAGGGTGCCGCCGCCGTGTAGGATGAGTGTGGACAACCGGCGCTTGGCCGGGCTAGGCCGCACGTAGAACGACATGGAGCTGCCGTCCTCTCGGACGAACAGAGTCGAGGAATGGGTAGGCCCGTTGGGGTCTTTGCCCATATCCATCGCCTCCGCCATGTCTGTCAACGCCGGGCTGACAGGGAAGCCAGCTGCTGCCACCGCAGACTGCCGCCACCCCAGACGACCGTGGTGGATAAGCCGAGCAGTACGCCTGCGCAGGCCCCGCCTCGGCACGCCCGCCTCCTGTCTCACCCGGAAGAGGCGGGGCTTCGCGCCCTGACCTGGAAATCGTCTGGCAGCCTCCCTCCTACTCGTCACTTTTGGGTCGGGCTCTCGGGGAAAGATGGCCGCTGTGCAAGCGGTGGAGGTGAACGTGGATGGCGAGCCTAAACTGAGCAAAAAGTAAGTGTGGCTGTGGATCGTGAAAGCTCTGGTGGTCCAGGAGTGCAGGCTGAGAAGCGGCCGGAGTGTCTGGTCCGGGAGAGCCTGTGCCGGGAGCCGAACTGCGGGCGCTGGTGGGGACGCACATGTTGGGGGACGCAGCGGCTGCGCTCGGAGAAAGTATATTCTCCTTGATGCCCTGGGGCGGGAGGCTGGAGATCGGAGGTTGGCCTTGGAGACGGGATGGGGTCAGGGCTGGGGGGTCCCCCGCTACTGTGCTGCTGGGGCGAGAGACGGCACAGGAGCAGCTAGCCTAGGGGGACCGCGAGGTGACAGAAGAAAGTTGAATTTCGTACCCACGTTCGTTCCCTCCCACCTTCCCAGAAGCTCGTTCTTTTAACACTGAGCCACTCCCCCTCGAGCAAGTTGGAGAAAAATGTTCAGTAGCCTCACTTTGTGTGTGTGTGTGGCCCTCAACATGTCCTCGGCCACCTCGCCCAGGGCGTTCTGAGCCGTGAGTGTTCAGAAAGGGGTTCATGCTAGAACGATGGAGTGCGTCTGTCCCTATGGGTTCTTTTGGAAGGTCGCGCGTTGACTGAAGTGAATGATAGGATGCGTGGGTGTTAACCATCGCGATTTTTCCAGTGTGTCCAGAATGTTGCAGAAATCAGGATTAGCCACAGTGTCTGGCACACCCTGGGGTCCTCTTGTGAGTCACAAAACAGGGACAGTAATTTGAGTGTTTCCTTCGAGGTCAGAAGAAGGCATCATAGTACCTTGGCAGTGGAGCAGGACAGAACTTAGCAGCTTTGGGGTTGTAGTCTTGCTGAATGCTGAGGGAACTGCTGTGAGCAGTCCTCGGATAGGAATTCACAGCAGGTTCCTTTGGTGTCCCTGTGCTTATGTTTCACTTATTTTAGGGCAAAAAAAAAAAAATCCAGTTTTGTGGTCTAATGATCACAGTCTGCTTTTTGATCCATCAGAGTGGTCGGATAGATCTCCAGAAGGTTTGGGACTGGGGAAGACTGACAGGATTGACAGGACTTGGGGCTTTTTCATCAGTAACTGAATGTTGTTTATTCATTCATTCACTCAAAAGGCAGTTACAGAGAGAGGGAAATCCCGTGCATTGGCTCATTCTGCGAAGTTACCATAATGGCTCAGGCCAAACCGGAAGCCCAGAACTCCCATCCAGGTGTCTCATGCAGTTGGCAAGGGCCCAAGGCTTGGATGGGCTTCCACTGCCTGTCCTGGCACATTGGGTGCAAGTGGAGCAGCCAGTATTTGAGGCAGGGCCCAGGAGGCAGCTTGACCTCCTGTGCCTCAACCCTGGTTCTACTAAGGGAATTTTATGACTGTGTATCATAGGTGCCTTGAAAGCATTGTTTCCATTTTAGAGTAAAGTCTTAAGTATTTTGCAAAAACTACTCGGTTACTTTTTAAACTTTGCTGAGATTACACACCCTATCAATTTTGGGGGCAGGTTTTATGTGCTAGACCTGTATAATCTTTCTGTGCAATCTCACCTTGTATAAGCAGTGTTAATGTCTGTTTTTCAGATTAATAACCAGAGTTTCTGGCTAATTAAGTACATGGCTAATGTGTGCATACCTAAAGCAAAGTCCAGCACTGATCCTGAGTAATGGAGCTTCGATCTCAAGTCTCCTGTAACCGTATATATGGCTGGATGTGCCAGGGCTGGATGTGCCCACCAGCCTGGGCTACAGCACCTGGTCTGCAAGAATCTGTTGTTGATGTTCCTCTAGTGGCCAGAGGCTGAAATAATTTTTATGGTTGACATTTCCATTTTTTTTAAATTGTTCTTAAAACTCCCTTGATCTGAAATCTCTAGTGAGCACGATTTTATACTGGGTGTTGTCCCCAAATTAAAAAAAAAAAAAAAAGCAGATTAGCTGTTTCTCTAACTGACACTTTCCCAAATGAAAGGCCACCCGCCCCCCCAATTGACATAAACACAATGAAAAGCATGGTCTTGGTAATTTTTGTTGTCCTCTGGTGTCAACAGTGTTTAAATGTAAGTAGCCTAAGGGTCTTAATGAAAGTCTCCGCCTCTTCTACAGAACTCCAGTCCTGTCTTTGATTCAGAGGTGTTTTGGTGTAGGCTGCTTTTAGCCTCATCTAGAGTTTGCATTTTCCTCATTTTATTTCTCCCAATGCCATCTGTTGGGCTTCAGGAACAGTCTAGATGTGGTCATTTGTACTTGTAAGGCTTGACTGACTTGCTGTTGACACATGGCGTCAGATGTGCATCTTTTTCCCTTACCTGGTGTGAGAGTCTTGTCAGTTACAGTCCCAGCACAGTGCCAGTTGCAGGGCTGCTGTGAGTTAAATGGGTGCCACTGGAGGCTAGTACAAACAAGGACTCCCTCACCCACCCTCAAGGGTGCTGGTTGGATGCACATGTTCTGCCTGTCCCATCTGACACCACATCTCTGTGTTTTCTGCTAGGTGGTGGTAATCATTAGTTCCGGGGTGTTCTGCCATGTTGACGCAAGCTGCCCTAAGGCTTATTAGGGGGTCCCTGCGCCACACCTTCTGGGCAGAGTGGGGTCAGAGGGAACTGCGGCTGTGTCAACTTGCTCCTTTCACAGCACATCACAAGGACAAGCCACTTTCTGATAAAAGAAGGTTGGTGCCTGGTTACCTTTATTGCTCTGGGAGCAAAATTCTTTCTTGACTTGCTTTGGTGTCTGTTAAGCCCATAGCTAAGTCTTTGGGCTTGTTGCTCAGGAAACAGCTCCCCTGCTGCACGTTCTTTCTCATTTTCTTTTTAATAAATTCAGATTCTATCTGTAAAATTTTCACATGACTTACGTATCTTATTTTGGGGCAGTATTGAGAGTAGAATCCTTGTTTAAACAAAGAATTTCTAATGCCAGTTAGTGTCTTTTCAGTCGTGCTGAGATTTTGTTAACTGTTGGGATTAATCTGATTTCTAGCCTTAGTTCTATCCTGAAATCTTCAGGATTGATTGGAAATAAATACTGACACCTTAATTGAATGGAAAATGAGTTTATCTGAATCCTAGTTAGCCTTAAGGGCCCACTTGAGCTGAATTTGTGAAATTAAGTTGCCTACTTTGAAGCCATCAGGACCAGCTCTTCTTTAAAATGATCCACTCGAATTATTATTTTTTAGTTATTATAAGTACAATTTGAAACTGAAAGGTGTATACAATAAGCAAGCATGACTTGAGATCTTCTGCCATGGTTCACTATTACAGAATATTCTAGTTCTGTGGTTGAAGGAATGATCTGTGGGCTCTCCAATAACTGGGTACCCTTTTCTCTCCGAGCTCTTCTTGTTTCTGGATTCCGATCATAAAGGAGGTACCACGTTGTCACAGTGCTTTGCCTTTTGAGTTCAGCTGACTAGGATCCAGAATTTGGATCATGATAAATTTAATCAGAAATGTTTCCAAAACTGTAGGGTTTCTGTCCTTGGAATAGAGAATGAAGTGGTATGGTATTGAGGGACACTCAGAACAGTGTAGATTTGAGTGCCAACTATTGCCAAGGTCAGGGTCAACCCATGTAAGGATTATCTCAGTCCACACAACAGTAGCTGGTGGGTGCGACTGTTACTTATTCCCGTTTTACAGGTAGGAAGAGATAAGTCACTTCCCCAAGTAATTGTTAGGTGTGTCAGAATTAGTCCCAGGCACTCTGACTGTAAAGGTAGAATATTGACCCTGTGCCATGCTGCTTCATGGGTGCTGCTCTTGCCAAAGTCAGGCTCTTACACACTCCGTGAGGCCTTGTTGGGGAGAGTGTTGCTTTGATTGTATCCCAGCGCTCTGAGAGCCGCCTCGTTCCTCTGAGATGCAGAGGGAGAGTGAGACGTGGCAGCCCGACCTAGGGATATTACTTTACCACATTAGGTCTCGTACTATAAAGGCTTCGGTCTCTACAACAACTCAGAATTAAGCCCTGTTCCCAAGGCACTCCTGGCCAAGGAAAGCCTATCTTGCTGATTTTCCAGAAACCCTAGAAACTGCTGTGTGGGACATTGTTCTGGTGCATTTTCATGTTAGTTGGTACCAAATGCTTGAGACTCGAAAGCAGAGTGAAAATGGGCGGTCTTTCCCTCTGTCTGGTGGGTTTGATAAGTGACCGTTCAGGTAGCGATGACAATGGTTGCTGTCATCTTCCCAACAGTGAGCTGAAGAGACGCCTCAAAGCTGAGAAGAAGCTGGCAGAGAAAGAGGCCAAGCAGAAAGAGCTCAGTGAGAAACAACAGAGCCAGGCGGCCGCTGCTGTCTCCAACCATGCCACTGACAATGGTGTGGGTACCGAGGAAGAGAGCCTGGACCCAAACGTGAGTCACATCGGCCACGCTGTGGCTGGACCTGAGCAGAGCTGTTGATGAGGCTGTGGCAGAAGATAAACAGGAGCTGGGTGCTGGGTCATTGCCTTGGTCAGGGTGGGCTGCCGCTGGGCCCTGACTGAACTCTGGGCAGGCGCATGGGAGAATCCAGTGCTCCCGAGTGACTGGTCCGTCTGATTCAGAGTTGTCCCAAAGGTGGCCTTGGGTTTACTTCGGTTGATAAAGGTCTATAAGCCAGGTCCACCTCTCTTTCTCTCCCTTGTTCCATATTCCCCCTCCCTGGTTTTGTAAAACCAGTTACATTTAGTCACCAACACCTAAGGCTATGTTGACTGACCCCTGCTGTAGAATACTTGCTATTATGTGTTCCATGGGTCTGCATTGCTGCAAAGTTGACATGTGGCCCAGAATAAGAGAATAATTATGCAAATAAATTACACACATGTATATATATGTATATATGTATATATG